CTGCACCCCACACCCCCACAGCACTGGGTAGAGAGGCTCAGCTCTTACTCAGCTTTGTTCTCCTAGCCCTTATTTCCTTTCTGGAGCTCTGTTTCTTTATTTCTGTGATGGGGATAATGATGCCTATCTCTTTTATTGTGATTTTGGTTCCCCAAAAGCAAACTAATCTCCCTTGATGGGATGGGGGAGTCAGCAGATTAACTAGGAAAATGAGTGGTCAAGAGGAGCCCTTAAATTTCTTAGTTCAACAGAGCAGACACAGGCCTGTGAGAGTGTTCCTTGGATGAAATCTAGTTTGTGTAACACAGAGTCAAGAGAGCAGGACCTCTGGCATCTCAGCTGTCTTGAAACAGATACTGGGAGTTTTCTAGGTCCAAAGGTTCAGCCAAAACCAATGTATCCTGCCCTAGCTGACAGAACATCAGCCTGTGGACTAAGGAGTCCCAGGTTCAATGCTGGTCAAGGGTATGCACCTTGGTTGCAGGCCTCTGGCCCTGGTCAGTCAGGGGCATGCGGGAGGCAACCAATCGATGTGCCTCTCTCACATCAGTGTTTGTCTCCCCCTCTCCCTTCCACACTCTCTAAAAATCAATGGAAAAATATCTTTGGGTGAGAATTATAAAAAACAAACAAAACCAAGCATCCTGTGAACAGCACCCTTCCAGATAAGCATCGTGTCAGGACAGAGCTGGAGTCAGCAGGCCTACAGATACACGTGCCTCCCCTCATCATCGTTGCCTCTCTTGTCAGGGTAACAGTCACAACTTCCCACCTAGTTTCCTGTCAGACCAGACCCCTGCCTGGAGCTCCTCCAGCTGCCTGGGGGAATCTCCTAGGACATGACTCTATCATGCCCATGCCCCCCAAAAGGTTTGGGTTTCTGAGCAGACCAGTGGTATGCCAGCTGCCTGTGTCTTTTGCTGATGGCACAGGCCACAGATTGGCATGAGGAAGCAGGGCAGGTAGATCAGGAAAGAGTAGTTGCAGCACCCAGTCGGGACACTGAAGCTGAGAAACCCTGTAATAAGTTGACCGCTGGGTCTGATTACCCTCAGCTCCAAATCTGAGTTCCGCCAGGCACATGACTGGCAGCTGCATTCTCAAATCTCTCTATTCCCAGTGCAGAGAGACTCCTTTCCCTAGCCCTTCCCGTGTGCCGAGAGGGCTGCAGCACTGTGGGCTTTCATCAAGAATCAGGACAAATCAGTCCAGCTGAGCTGCCTCCATACCAGAACTGCTAGGACGCTAGGACTCTCCTCAGCTCCCAGGCCAGCCGCAGTGGCCCTTTCTCCTGGGACTGACTTCCTATTCTCCCTGCTCCTGGGCAATGATGAACATTCCAGGAAAACCACAGAGCTGTGGCTCTCCCGGCTCCAGATCTGGTGGCCACTGGAGGGCACAGCACAATGGGCAAGGACTCCTGAGGGTCCCAGACCTAGAAGGCCGAGTAAGAAGTCTATCCTTGTAGTCTAATCCTGGACCTGTCCATCGCTCAGCCAGCCAGTCCTCCATTGTTCATCAGGGAATGTATATTACCAGTGGGTATATGTGCAGGTTTATATATTCAAGGGCCTGAGTATACACACTCTCCATTATATGATAATGTTTACTTTTAATATATCAAAGGAAGATTTAAGAGCTTAACATATATCTCATTTAATCTTCACAAGGAAGTCAATTTTCATTATCTCTGCTTTGCAGAAGAGGAATCTGACATGCAAGGAGGTATGTAGCATGCCCAGTCACAAAGAGGGTTGGGATTTGAGCCCAGGGCATCTGAATCTGGGATATTTGACATAATACAGCCACCTCCTTAATAAGCTCTCCACAAATGTTTGAGACCTGAATTATGCAGGTACTCACATAAAGAGAAGAAAGAGGGAGCAAAAGTGGATGAATCTTTTCATCTGGAGACCCACCCTTTCCCCCCTCTGCTTGGTATGTCCCCCACCCTTAGTCATTGTTTCATGAGAATGAATGAGAAGCGTAAGACTTGACCACTGTTGTTCCTCTGCTTACGGAAAGGAGCCTGGAGATGGGGTGCCGTCAGATCATCTTTATCTTCCCCAAAGGCTTTTCCTGCTTCTAGCCACCCCTCACCCACCCAGGTCTCGGCTTCCCTAGTCCTTGGGGCCAAGACTACCTTGGTTTGGATTTGGGAGTGGAGAAGGAAGAATAATGTGTGTGACTTCCACCATTTCTCCAGGCATGGGTATTTCCCACTGCCGCTGGCCTCCCTATTTCCCGGGTCCTGCTGTCACTTTGAAAGCTTTGCAAGGGTGTCCTTGAGACACACTTCCTGTGTTTTTGCTCAAACAGTGTTTGCTAAAAAGTATGTCAAAGCATTTGGGCTTTGGTTTTTGGTTCAGAATATGCCAATGTTTTCATTTGCAAGGGGAAGTGTTTCTGTTGATGTGCTGAAGAGATAAAATAAGAGTGTTCTCCAAATTACACTGTCTGAAAGTCAAGCACTTGGCTTGGAGGCAGGGATGCATCTTGGGATCCTGGAGCTCGCAGAGAGCAGGCAGGGTTAACATTTGCTGAATGACTCCATCAGTGAATACACAAAGGGTGTGGAACCAGTATAGATGATCAAATACTCAGTATAGGCTTTGAATGGGTTCCACAATTCTACCTTTCAAAGGTGTTGTTGGTCTATTTGTGTTTCTCCATTTTTACTAACCTTGCCTCATCCTTGCCTTGGTCACCTCTGGCCCAAGCAACTGAACAGCTTCTAACTGGCTATCCTGTTTCCACAGTTGCCCCTATAATTCATTTTGCTCACAAGAGCCTAAACACATGGTCGGCAAACTGGCTTGTGAGCCACATGTGGCTGTTTGGCCTCTTGAGTGTGGCTCTTCCACAAAATAACACGGCCTGGGCGAGTGTATTTTCAAGAAGTGGCATTAGAAGTTTAAGTTTAAAAAATTTGGCTCTCAAAAGAAATTTCAATCATTGTACTGTTGACATTTGGCTCTGTTGACTAATGAGTTTGTTGACCACTGGCCTAAGCCACCTTTGCAGAATGTGAAGTGGAATTGTGTCATCCCTACTGGTAGCTTCCCATTGCTCATGGCAGTGGCTTGCAAGTCCCACACAATCTGGCTACTGCCCACTCCACTGACCTCTCCTGAGGCTGCTCTCCTGCCACAACAGCCTCCTATTAGTTGTTGGAACAACCAACTCTCTCCACCCAACAGCCTTGGCACTGGCAGTTTCTCTGCCCGGATGGCTCTTCTCCAGGTCTTCATGTCTGGCTCCTATCAATTTAGAGCTCAGAGGGCCTTCTGTGACACCTCCATCTGAAGCAGCCCGTCTCTATTCTGTGTCACTGACTCGATAGACATTTATTGAGCACCGACTAAATGCTAGGTACTATTCTAAGTGCTGAGGAAACAGCTGTGAACACAATGCGGATGCTCATGTCCTTACCTGCCTTCATAGCGCTCAAAAAAATCTGATTATCTTGTTTGGGAACCTGCTTGTTCTTCTTACCAAGCGACATGAGGGCTGGGGCTAAGTCTGTCTTGCTCATCGTGTTCATCCACCAGGCACAGTAGATACTCAGTTTGTTCAATAAAAGAACGGATGAAAGGAAGGATGGATGGATGGATGGAAGGCAGGCAGACTGGGTAGTGACAGAAAGTAGCTCGAAAAAGCTTTCTTCAAAAAAAAATTTCACTCTTAACCCCTCAGGGAACTCCTGCCTTCACTCCCCCCATTATTAGCAGTAGATTCTGCCCCACCCTAAGTCACCTGACTAAGGTATCTTGTCTTAGGAAGACCACAGAGCAGAGGTGTTAATCCAGCCAGCTTGGAGTGAGTGGCATTAGTGTGTTTTCCAAAAGCCCTTGCCCAATGTCTCAGTATCCCTCTTCCTTTGCCACTCAGACCCTGTGCCTAGTGACACAGCACTGGCCAGCTGAGGGGCTCCAGCCAAGGAGTCCCTACGTGCCCTGTGAACCCTCAGCAGACCCAACAGTCTGCCTGTCTCTCCCATCTAGTCCAGCTGCCTATCTTCCTTTTGTGTGTGTGTGGTTTTGTTTGTGTCTTTTTATTTATCTGCCTCTCTTCCTTGATGTGTTACTTTGGCCAAGATTTTCTCCTTTCTGGATTTTCATTTCTCTCCCACCAGCAAGCATGTGGGGCTGGACACAGATACCTGGTTGCAGCCCCGAGGCAGGACTTGAACACCTTAGTGCAATGATCCTGTGGTTTCTTCTGCATGCCCAATAGCCCCCTGAGATCTTGCAAACACACAGGCAAACTCCCCACTCCTTCCCCATCCTGTCCCTGTCACCAGTCTCCCCCCCACCCCCTCCTCCATGAAGGCAGCTTGTGAAACTGGCAGCCCTTGCAGTTTCACCCTGAAACCTGACTCCAAGTCAGCAGCAAACCCAAGGCCAAAAAGGTTCTTTGCTAAAGGAGGTTTCTCCTCTTAAAACCCCAGCCAGAAGTCCTTGCTATCAGGCTCCAAGAGGCCACAGACAAAGGTGACCAGTGCCTGGCTTCCTATCTTTTGGGACACTCCAGCTCTTTATCCTTCCAGGACTAGTGATAATTCCTACACACACACACACACACACACACACACACACACACCACCCCCCGCCCAAAAAAAAAAAAAAAATCAAGGTCATCTTCAAGCTAGACTGAGGATAGGGGGAGGAGCTGACAGCTCTGCCTCCAATGGATTTGGGTGCAAAGGTTTTTTTCCCCATAAGCTGTGGCAATTGGCAGCATGGCTAACCCAAACACTTCTTAGGCCCTGCCTCCCTTCCCTCTTCAACAGCTGTCACCTTCCTTAGGGGAAATCTTCCAACCCCAACCAAGGGCCTAAGGAGTCCAGCCATTCCTGGCATCCCAAAAGACCTGGAGGAGGTGGTGGATGGAGGAATGAATCAGGAGCCTGAGGGAGGGGTGTGTGTCCGGCTTGGGGAGGCCTCCCCCTTCCTCCCCAGGTCCCCGATCCGTCCTTATCCCGCACAGAGGGCACTTACAAGCCTCGGAGGAGGCCGGAGAGGACCTCGTCCTGGAGGTCCCATCCCCGGCCAAACGGTGCCCTCAACCAGCAGCAGCGGCGGCATGTTGTGGGCGGCTGGTCCCGGCGGAAGGTTGCGGGTTGAGGGGGGGAGGTAAGCGGGGGGAAGCGAGGCCTACTCCAAGTAACCATCGAAGACGTCGAGCTCCGAGTCGGCATCGTAGAGGCCCAAGCCCGGGTCGGAGAGCACGCCGAGGTCCACGAGCGCCTGGTCCATGTCCTCGGGCAGGAAGACGAGGCCCACGTTGAGGACGATGTACTCCATGAGGAAGGCGTAGTACAGGATCAGCACGTTGACGAAGAAGAGGCCCACGTAGAACATAGAGGGCAGCAGCGGCGGGGGCACGTAGGGGCTCAGGGGGCCCAGCACGTCCAGGTGGGCCGCGACCCGGGCACTGGGCATGCAGGGGACGGCGAGGGCGGCAGCGGCCTGGAGATCCCGGCGAGCTCAGCCGCTGTGGCGCCCGGGCGGCCGGCGAGGGGGCAGCTCAGCCATCCAGGGACGCCCTGCGGCTCGACCGAGGCGGCGCTGGTTTCCGGCGGTGAAACGTGCGTGGAGGGATCCCCGGACCCCCAGAGGTGCCCACACAGCCCTCTCGATTCGCTCCGCGGCCAGGCGGGTCCCCCCTCCGAGTGCCCGGTGGCTATCTGGCTCCTCCGATGAGCCCTCCTCGCAATCACGGACCCTCTCAAAGCCGGCCGGGAGCCCACCGCGGCTCAGCATCGAGGGCCAGTCCCGGAGGCAGCCTCTCCAGGTCGGCCCGGCAGTTCCTCGAGCCCCATTTGTGCCTCCTCCGGCTCGGCGCCCATGGCTGCAGCCGCCGCGTCGCCCTGCTGGTCGCGTTCCGAGCTCCGCCTCCTGAGAGAACCCGAGCTCATTGGCCGGCCGCCCCCTGTCCGTGCTCATTGGCCGCCCGCCCCCCGAACGCGCTCATTGGCCCGAGCTGTCTGGGGGCGGGTACTTGTCAGCCCAGTTCCTGGGGGCGGCGCTGGCCTCTGAGTTGCTTTCCTGGTTCTGGACTCCGCCTGGACCTCAAATCCAATTCGCTTCTTTAAACGCTTCTCGGAGTAGGGGGACTGGAAAGAAACCCAACACAATTCAAACTTAGAGGCGACGAAAGCTGAAGGAAACCGCGAGCTCTCTCTGCACCCTGCTGGACTTGAATATGACGCCACGCCTTTCTGGGACTCAGTTTACCAGATGAAAAAGGAGGTGGGGTAGGGGAGGGGTGCTGGACTTTTAAATAGTGAAAATCTTGAACTTTCTCAAAGGGCCAGTTTTGTTTGTTTGTTTGTTTGTTTGTTTGTTTTTTAATGGTGGTGATAAGCAACCAAATGTCCCCTTGGTTTCCAAATTCTGGCTGCAGGAAGGTCTGCCTACTGCGGAGAGTTCTGCATCGTCGTGTTCAGGGACACTTGAGTAAAGAGATGTCCAGGCAGGTCGGACCTTTAGTCAGTAGGGTTGCATTATTGTTTTAAACTTGGCTTACAAAGCACAAAGAAATAAGAAGCAAACCCAAGAAGTACACAAAAACTGAGCCCCCTTCTCATGGGAAACCCTTGAACATCGTTCAGGAGGCTCATTTTGCCTACAGGACCTTCCAAAGCAGTTCCATGAACTACTAAATCTCAGGCCACTGAGCTGGGTGCTTTACATGCATTGCTTATTAGACAGGGCAGTGTAGTAAGTTACACTTTTTTACAGATGAGGAAACCAAGACCCAGAGAAATGGTGGGGCCCTGGAAGCTGATTAGCCTGCCTGTGTCTAGAGGCCAGAACCTGCCCCCTCCCACCCTTTTCCCCTCCATGACTGTTTCTTTAGATGTAAATGTCCTTTAGATGAATTACACAGCAAAACCATTAATCCTTCACTAGTCTCCATTTCTCCAACTGCAGAAGGTGAAACAAACTTTCATGTATTCATTCACTCTGTCAATATTTGCTGAACACCAATTAGCACCAAGCTTTGTGCTGGGCATTGGGAAGAACATTAGCTCCCTGTCCAATTCTGTCCTGAACAAAGTAGATTGTACACAATAGGCGTTGGTAGGTGTGAGGTATAGAAATAAGTGAATAAATGGTGAACAGGGTCATTTTATCTCCTTGGAGCTTCTCACTTTTTATAGAGACATCTTTTTGGCTCATATAGGAAGTTGATGTCTCTATTTTCAAAAACATGTTAGTTTGGGAAATGGCATGGATTTTGGGTGAAGACCAGAGAAATCCTCTCAAAAAGTACAGGATGTTCAGTTTTGGTACATTGTTGCTTAAAGGTCTAAATATAAATTGTAGTAGCAAAAGAAAAAGGCTGTGAGGACAAACAAGACATTACCGATTTGATGCAGTTTAGTTTGTTTTTTACTGGGGGATAAAAATAAGGGTGCCTGGGTTTGAATCCTAATTCTATCACTGCCTAGCTGCATGACCTTGGGCAAGTCAACCTCATTGTGATTCAATTTCCTTGACAGTAAATGGGAATAATAATAGAACCACTTCATGGGGTTGTTAAAATAATTATATGTAAGCGCATAGGCACGTGGTATAGCAATAGCTACGCTTATTCTTATCATAAAGCTAATAATTGTTAATACTGCCATTACTTATAATCACTCTGCTCCCCCAACTTCCTTCTAAGGCTCTGCGCACAAGTTTCCTATTCCCGCCCACCGGGACGGGGACGGCGCATTCTCCTCCTCTCGCTCCGCCTCTTCTCCCAGGCCACAGGCCCGCAGTTGCGTGGTGCATGCCGGGCCTTGTAGTTGGTTCGCAGAGTCCTGTCTGTTGCGGCCTCGCGGGTGAACTGCATTTCCCAGCATTCATCGTGATGGCGGCCGTAAAACGCGACGGTCGAACGGCCGGTTCCGGCTGAATGTCAGTGCCGGGCTGTGGGCCGGGGAGGAAGGTTGGCGGTCTCTTCATCACCTCCGCGGTTTGTGCTGCCGCCGCGGGTTCCCAGCCGCTGGGCCGCTGGGGCATGAGACCGTGAGGCGAGCGACGGGCCGGGGCAGCCGACATGTTTGGCCGCTCGCGGAGCTGGGTGGGCGGGGGCCATGGCAAGTCTTCCCGCAACATCCACTCCTTGGACCACCTCAAGTGAGTATGTTGGGGGCGGAGGTGGGAGGCCTGGGGGCTGGAAACGGGGATGGGAGCGCGGAGCCCCGGGCTCGGGTCGCTGGGAGGTGCCAGAGCTGAGATCGATGGAGGGTGGAGGAGAGGTGCTCGGGAAAGGCTGTATGGTGGCTAAGAGCGAGAGCTCTGGAGTCGGGGCGCCTTGGTTCGAACCCTGACCCCGTCTCTCCTTGCTGTGTGACCTTGGGCAAGTTGCTTAGCTTTTCGGAGCCTCAGTATCCCCGTCTTTTTAAAGTCAGGGGATGCGATTTCAAGTTCACAGACACCGACTTCGTTCTTGCCGGAGCAGATCTTGCGCACCTAGCTTCCCGGGGCGGTACTTCTTAGGCTGGACCGAGGTCAGAGGTCTGGATCCCGGTGTCAGACAGATCTGGGTTGCAATCTAAGTATGTGGAGTTAGTTCGGCCTTAGTTTCCTTAGTTGTAAAACGGATACTTGTGACAGCACCTGCTTCCCAAGATTGTCTTGAGGATTGGGTAAAAGAATGCACGGAAAGCTGGGAGCACATACAGGTGCTCATTCAAGGGCAGTAATTAATTAAAAGCAGACTTTTTTCTTTTTTCTTTTTTTAAATATATTTTATACAGAGAGGAAGGGAGAGAGATAGTTAGAAACATCAATGAGAGAGAGTCATCGATCAGCTGCCTCTTGCATACTCCCTACTTGGGGATATGCCCGCAACCAAAGTACATGCCCTTGACTGGAATCGAACCCAGGACCTTTCAGTCCCCAAGCCGACGCTCTATCCATTGAGCCAAACCGGTTTCGGCAAAAAAAAGCAGACTATTTTCTAGGCAGAGTCTAAAGAGGGATTATCAGAACTAGAGCTCTAGGGGAGGACAAGTTGCAAACGGGATCCTGGGAAGCTGGAGTGCAGCAGGCAGACCTGCTTTTAAATCCTGATTTCACCACTTAATGGCAGCGTGACCTTGGCCAAATTACTTCACCTCTTTGAGCCTCTGGTTCTGCATCTGCAAATGAGTATTGTGAACATTGTGCAAGGATTTAGTAATGTCATGCATGGAAAGAGATTGACCCAGTGTGTGTCACACAGTAGGTGGCCAGCAGTGGTAGCTGTGTTTATTAGCCAGACCAGGCCTTCCCAGACCACACTACCTTAAGGGCTTCCCCCACCCCAATTTCTGTCCATCTTTATCTTGATTTCATTCAATGCACTTCTACTAGCCGCAGGTATCCTGCTTGTTTTTACTACCTTTTTGCCTGCTACTAAACTGGCACTTCCAGGCCAACAGAGCCTGCTTGTTTTGCTCACAATTGTATCCCAGAATCTAGTGCTGTGCCTGACACACAGTAGGAACTCAATGGATGCTTATTAAATGCAGGGGGGGGGGGGAGGGAGTGAGGGGGGAATGAACTGGGGAGAGCATGCATACAAGAATCTAGAATTTTTTGGGGGGCAGGGCTGGTGATGATGGAAAACAGAGACCTTTGAGGAGGGAATAACTTCAGGGAGGAAAATATTGGGGGGAGTTGGAGTAGGCAAACTTTAGAGGTAAGAAGCAGGCTGGTTTCCAGAGGAACTTCCCAAGATTACTGATGGGAAGAAACAAGGATGGAGGGAGGAGGGGGAAACAGTAGGAAAAGATGGGAAGGGATTGGTGAGGAGGGACATTCGATGGGGGCTTCTCATTTGGCCAGGGGTCAGGGTACAGTGATTCTCAGTTATGGCCTTTCTAGCATGGAGCATGCATTTAGTCAATGTTTGTGGGTCTCAGAGGGGTGGGGAGGGGGGAGCAGGAGGGCTTATTTTGTGGTGAGGAATGGTGCTAAGAGAAAACATGGGGAGCCGAGAGGCCCAGGACAAGAAGTGGGGTATGTAGGGAAGCAGGAATCTTAAGTGGGAGGGCAGCTGCAGGGGAAAGGGAGAGGCTGAAGGATTTCAGGAATGTAGAGTGTGGGTGGATGTGGCTGAGAAGAGCAGAATGGTTGGGCCTCCTGCCAGCACCCAGTTACCTGCAGGCTGTCACCTCACTGCCTGACTCTAGGCCTTATATATTGCCGTAACATTTATTAAATGTGTTTTCTGTGTCAGATACTTGCTAAGGCCTTCCTGTGTTTTATTTCCTTTAGTTTATTTTACAGAAATGGAAACCAAGGTTCAAAGAGGTTCAGTCACTCGCCCAGGATAACAACAGCTGAAAAGTGTCCAAGCCAGGATTTGACTTTAGTGCTTGTACGCATTCCACTGTCTTTTTGAATAAAACTTCCTAAATAAGTCAGATTGGGGAGTCTTTCCACTTGGTTGAGTCTCACTGCCAGTGGGTCATCTTCACTCTCCCGCCAGCCAGGGAATGGTAAAGGTTCTCAGGTTCCTTTGAAGTATCCTGGAACTGCCCAGGTACATTGCTTAGGTTGCATGGCCATTGGGTGCTTTTTTGGAAACCTGAGCTGCCTGCCCTGGATCAGGCAGATCAGCTTAATCCATATTACAGCCTGCCGGAGTAACCTGGTGATTTGCTTACTGGTGTGGGGCTTAGAAGATCCTAGAGTGACTTGGGTAAGAGTGCCATAAACAGCTCGTACCCACCCCAGTGCTTGTGATGATCTTTGTTTGGCTCTGATAGTAAACAACTTGGGTTTGGGATATGGAACAGCTTACAACCTGAGGGAAAAACCATAGAGCCAATGACTGTACAGAGTGACAAGCACTAGGACCACTGTAGGCCCGGGGTTCTGTGGAAACCTTGTGAGCTTTCTGGAGGAGGCAACACCAGAGTGCAGTCCTCAAGGACAAGTAGGATCACTGTACAGGAGAGCAGGATGTGGGAGGGGGGCCTTGGATGTGTGGAGCATCAGTGTGGGGCCGGTAGTTTTGGGAAACAAGTCTGGAGGTAGAAGGAGGCTTGGGTTTCACCTGACACAGGGTGACCAGCTGTCCAGGTGTGCCTGGGACTGGAGGGTTTCGCAGGACATGGAACTTTCAGTGCGAACACTGGGAAAGTCCTGGGCAGCTGGTAAGAATTGATCACCCTCCCAGTGACAAGTGACAGTTCCTAATACACTCTTACCCGGACAGAGGACACAGTGTGGATGGAAAGGAGAGATTAAGATACTTAAAGTAATTTAGAATTGGTTATTTGGGGGTGGAGGGGGCAGACAAAGCATCTTGGAACCTTCCTTCTTCCCCCTTTTAATGGACTTTTAAAGAACAGTTTGAGATTTACAGAAGAATTGAGAGGACAGTCCAGAGGGCTGGAAATCCTTTTTGAACTACCGGTACACTATTCTTCATAACATTCCCAGCTTTCAAAGTGGAAAGGGATTTTACTCTTGGAATATACAGGGTTTTACTCTTGGAAAATTGTGTACCTGTGGTTTTTGTCTATTCAGTCAAGTTGTGATTTAGTTGAGGCAGATTGAAATAGTAAAAGTTTGCTTGCTGCACATTATGGGTGATTTATTGCCCAGACTAGTGGCGAGACTGACTAACAGATGTCCAGCACTAAGAAAAACCTTTACTGATGGAGTCGTGTGATTGCTACTCTAACATCACCTGTACTGGGAACTATGCGTCTACAGTGATGGAACTTTTTTGTTCTTGTGTTGTGTGGTTGTCTTAATTCTGATCACCTTTTTGTGTGGCTCAAGATTCTTGGTTGCACATGACAGAAATCTGGATGGAATTGGCTCCTGTCACTGAGCAGTCATACCTGGCTAAGCCATGGCTGAGTCCAGGTGTTGAGATGGAGCTATCACTATCTTCCTCTTTACAATTCTTGTCTCTGCTTTCTACTGTATTGGTGTAATCCTCAGCAGGCTCCAGGCTTACATTGCGGTAGTTTAGCAGTCCCTGGGAAAAAGAACTTCTTAGTATTACTAGCAGAAGTCCAGAGTTGAATAGTGTTAGACCAACTGGGGTCTCATGCCCATCCCTGACCTAGTGACTGTAGCAGGGGGTGTGGAATGCTCTAATTAGTCTTTCTTTGGAGCTGGGATGCCATCAGCTCCACACAAGCTACAGGACAGAGAATGAGATAAAGGGAAAATCAGGGGTTTTACCCGAAGGAGACGGCAAACGTATACCCAGCAGGTAGAAACTCCTCTACACTTGGTATATTCCACTTTTGCCTAAGATAGCATTGATACTTTTTTTTTTTTTTTAAATATATTTTTATTGATTTTTTACAGAGAGGAAAGGAGAGAGAAAGAGAGCTAGAAACGTCAATGAGAGAGAAACATTGACCAGCTGCCTCCTGCACACCCCCTACTGGGGATGTGCCTGCAACCAAGGTACATGCCCCTGACCGGAATCGAACCCGGGACCCTTTAGTCCGCAGACCGACACTCTACCACTGAGCCAAACCGGTTTCAGCAGCATTGGTACTTTTAGAACTAGAGGTACAATATTGCTAGATTTATTTTCTTAGCATACACTACTTAACGTATTATACATAGTGAATCCAAGGTATCTGCTATGTCAAATCTAAGATCTTTCAGGCCTTCAGAGCACTCTAGACTCTGTTCCTACCCATCTAGTTTGAGAGCACAGAGGAGGGCCCTGTAACCCAGGCCAGGGAATCAGGAGCATCCTTGGTGGTCAGATACCCATTTAAATGGAGGCCCTAAATGGCAGTTTGCTAGCAGGGTTGCCTAAGACCATCGAAAAACACAGATAGTTACATTACGATAAACAGTAGCAAAATTACACTTATGAAGTAACAACAAAAATAATTTTATTGTTGGGGGTCACAGCAACATGAGGAACTGTATTAAAGGGTTGCGGCATTAAAAAGGTCGAGAACCACTGCCCTAAAGGATGAGTGGTTGTTACCAGGTTGGGGATAGGGCAGGGCAGAGTTAACGGGAGGATGCTCAGGCAGAGGAAACAGCATTTGAGAGGTTGGGAGGAGAGAATCTGGGGTCCTTCAGTAAGGGGATGTGTATGCGTATGTGGTGGAGGGAGGTGGAAGGCTTTAAAGCAGAACAGTGAGGCTGGAGAAGTC